CGCCTATCCGAAATCGGAATGAATTTTGCATCCAATTTTTTGGGATGGAAATTAGAACCCATTTTCACTTCCTAACATAATTATAAATTTTCCGAAAAAATCATTTACAATCCATTCAGTCCGATTTTCACCCGTGCTAATGGGTCAGGTATTCGGGTTATCCATATCTTAATAATTGATTCCAAGAAGCCCAAATATCTCCATTGGACCCAATAGTTTTTTGTCGGGTTAATGATTCAACTCATGAAAGCCCGGCCCAAGAATTATTACTTCCTAAATATATGAAACGTTTTTGTTTGCTTTTCTTTTTTTTAAATTAAATTTTATATTCAGTGAAGTTGATAGAATAAAATTTCACCATACACATGTATATTTAACCTAATTCATTATTGGACTTGACTTTTAAATTTTAATAATCGACCATAATAACAAAAATTGGTTTTCAATAGAGGCTAATTTGAAAAGAAAAAAAAAAGCGAAAAGTTTATAACTCTAAAAGTATTTTATAATTTGTTATAACCTTAAAGAATTTAAAATAAAAGAAAAAAATATTCATTAAATATTTCTGTACAATACGGTTTACCCCATCAATACTGTATACTATACCTAATACTCTTTGCAGAAAAAAAATTACCGAATATCGTACCGAATTTTTGGTTCGCTATTTGGCACGTACCGAATTTTCGATTCGATTTGGTTCAGTCGGTTTACCGACCAAGTGAACACCCGTATTAGCACATACTAGCATTTTCCCCCGTGCGATGCACGAGATATTATTTAAATAGTGAAAAAAAATAATCAATTTAATACATAATAAGAAAATATAGTACACTAAGATAATTTAATAATGTAGTATTATTCATATTGAATTTCTAGCTTTATCTATTAAAATTTGAGATATATTGATGAAAATTAGGAAATCAATAATTATTGAAAATTATAGTTAAAAAATTAGTACATAAAAAATATTAAAAATAAATAATTACATAAGTAGCAATAAGGTAGGATTCTTCACGGGTTAGTTTTAATTTTGATAATTGTTAAAAATTATAGTTAGAAATTAGTAGGGAAAAAATATTAAAAATAAATAATTACCGAAATACCATTAGGTTTTGTTATGGTTGCCCAGAGTTTCTTTCTTTTATATATAAGATAAGATATACTTATCTATTTTATGTATTCTCGTTTCTCGCGTGGGCTAGCCAAGGGAGGGTTGTCACCCCTGAAAAAAAAAATGATTTTTTCTATAATTTTTTTATTTATTTATATATTTCACACTATTCGACGCGTCCCAAAATTCAAAAAAAATCCACTTATAACGTGTTATTTCCAATTAAATGAGTCTAAATAATGACATATGGCTATGTTATATTAGCTAAAATATTAAATATACATTTATTAATTCTTTAAAATATTCTCAAAAAAATTCAGAACCGCTACCTCCAAACTCCCGTAAACCACTAGTTCATTATCACCGAACTCGTCGCCCCCACAATAACTTGATTTCTCACATCAAATAATGAGTTTACTCACATCAAATAATGACATGGTACGTAGTACAATTTGACTTAAACCTACACTAAAAATAAAATTAATATAATAATGTGACATAAAACGAGTACTATAATTATTTGCTGTATTTGTCGGCATGCATTTTCCTAAATGATAATCAAAATTTCTTGAATAGATATGATTTTGCCGCATAGACTTAGATTTTGTTTCTTGAATAAATGATTGCTATAGTGACTAATAATTTAATTCGGACCACTAATTAATTATAGGAGAATTAAATTCCAAGAAGACGACTGGTTAAGAAAAACATGTGCGCACGTGACTTTGACTGTCTGTGCATGCATGCAGACAATATTGAGAAACAAGATCTACTACAGATCTAATTAATTTAGATTTCAAAATAAATAAATTAATTAATTAATTAAAAAAAAGAAGATCTAAATGAGAGGTCTATTCTCATTTCTCATATATTTCCCAAGGGTAAATTACAAACACCCCTCTGAGGTATGGTCAAATTACAAAAAAACCCCTCTTGTTTGGATAATTACATCTACCCCCTCAACTATGATTTTTTCTTACACCTCCACCCTTATTGTGCCAAATTCAATATAATCATCTAGATTTCGTGTAATGTGCTCTAGTTTGTATTCATTTTGTGTAAAAATACAGTTTCCGATGCACTACAAACTGATATACACAAGCTAAAAATCATATATTATGATCATCTTACTTCATAATGTAGAGTTTGAATGGTATAAAACGGGTACAAAAGTGATAATATTTCATATAATCTCGAAGATTCCACTAAATTTTAAGAGTTGAGGGGGTGGTTGTAATTATCCAAACAATAGGGGTGTTTTTTGTAATTTTATCATACCTCAATCTTCAGCCATGCCGAACAGCAACACGTTCAGAACCCTTGAACCGGGCTCTGATACCAACTGTTACAGGGGTTAATTTATCACCGAAATTTTCCCTTGTACGGCCTGATTTGCCCACCAAACCAGTCAGCCTTCCACACGATTTTCTTCGCACAAACACGCACAAACACAAGTCTTTTCAGCCACGTAAACGAATACAAGAGTATGCAGCGGAAAACAAACACACAAGCACGTTTACGGGCAATGCCCAACCTTTATATTAATTCCCACAACGAATACAAAGGAGACTAAGGTGCACACACAAAATCCTCACTCAGAATTGCCCAACAATTGCAATCTGAACTCTCATATGCTAGATACCTCGGATTTGTGCACTCATAGCCTAATAAATACAAGGAAAAGGTAGTTTTCACACAAAACTACCTAAGGACACATGGCAGCATACAAACATGACACTTGGCCAACTATTACAAGTATAAAGGGGCAGTTTTCTTGCATTTTCAGGCCTCAACCGCTCCGTAACTTCCTCAAATCCGCCCACAAGGCTGATTTCCGAAGCCCAACTTGATCGAGCCCGCGAACGCGCGCCAAACGGCCCAAACAGCCCGGCCGGTTGCTAGGCAGCCCACCTGCCTTGCCTTTTCCGCACTTTAGCTTCCCTTTACCGATTACTTGCTAGTTCTTTGCCCACACGGTCATCGGCACGCCCGCTCATCGAGCTGCCTTGCTTGCCTTGCCAATTTTGCCCACACTTGTCAAGTCGTGGTCGATTTCCCTCGAACGTTCGTTTGCCCACATTATCGGCCACATGCCGATTATTGCCCACGCTTTGTCCGTCTTTGCTGCCGAGCAACGCCCGTGCCAGCCACAAGTACTATCGATCACCGTTCCCACTTGAACCAAGCCAATCCTTGCTTTTCTCGGCCAAGCACTCCGAATGCTTGCCGATCACTCGACCACTCATTGGCCGGTTGTGTGGCTGCCTTGTGCCAATCCCCACTTGGCACCATTTATCGGTCATGGCTCGGCCACACTCGAGCCATTACCGATATCACCGATTAAGGGGGTAACAGATCCTACCCTACCCTCCCCCACCTCCACCCACCAACCCACCCACCCACCTATCACTATCTTCTTCCCACGTGTGTGTAATGTATGTATATATTCAATCTGTATATACATAATATAGGGAAGTACTTGAGGCATTTTTTTTTAACAGTAAAAATCTAAAATCATGTTAATTACAGCGGGACTTTTACTGGTTTGCGACGGAGTTTTTGTCATTATTTTAAAACACTCTTAAAAAAATTAAATTCTCGACGCACAACAACAATTTTAATGGCCGAAATTCGGATTATGATTATGCGGCAAAAATAAGTTGTTTGGTTTTTTGTGTTTTCCCCAAATTAAAATTTACGTATTCCGTTAAGTTGAATGAGTATTGTTTTCAGCGACACGAAACACACAAAATTAATTTAAGTTCCGTGCTTTGAAGTACGAATTTAGGGCCCGAAAACCCACAAAGAATTTGAAGTTTCCGTGCACTAAAAAAAAGCTATAGGACATATTCAAATGAAAATTTACATAAAATTATTAATTATTTACTCCTAACAATCATAAAATCAATATAATTAATAAATTCCGACAAATTAAATATAAGACACTTAATTCATTTTAATCGTTTATTTTTATTTGATATCACCAACTGGATTTTCTTTCTTTTTCTTTGATCCGGTGGGGGAGACGACATATAAATCTGACAATCACTTTTTCACAACTTTTTAATCAATGATATTGATAGAAAGTTATAAATGTGTGTGTATCATGACTTAGATTATGCGTTTCTTTGGACATAATAATTATATATACTATGTATATTTCATCTTTCCCTGTAATTAACTTTTTCAGAAGCCGCTATTCTTGAAAAAAGTGCTTTTCATTATTAGGACAACAACTTTATTATTCTACCCCAAAATTAAAACAAGGGCGGCGGGCGGAAAGCATGCACTAATGTGAATTAAGAAAAGGAAAAAAATATTTTTCATGGGCTAAAATGTACAAAATTAAATCTTGAGAGACCAAAGTGTATAAAATAAAAAATTACTAATTTTTTTTTCAAGAGCGGGAGCCCCCAAGGCTACATGTGGGCCCGCCCCTGACGTGGACTGAAAAGAGGCCTACCAATCAAAAAAGAGGTAGTTAGAGCAACCACGGAGCGACCACGTCACTCTTTTTTGCAGGTCGCAGTCGGGTTTTTCTTCGTCTTGGACTTCTCTCTATCCCCAAAGCCCGATGTCGTTTTATTATTATTGTTCGGGCCTTTCGGGCTTCATGAATAAATTACAAAATCCATTAATTTTTTTTTATTAATGATTTCATCATCCTAAAGGCCTCTTTTTGATTGGTGCTATAAAACATAATCCTCTTTTCCTAAATAAAACATAGGTTTAAAACAGTAAGAGAAACAACTAGGATTAAACTGATAATAAGATTCCCAAACAAAGACAAAGTTCAGTAAATACCATATGATGAAAATACACTGATCTCATTACAAACATACAAACAAAAGAGCGTCGGTCGCGATAACGGCTAACTAAAGGGAAAAATCCCCTCTTTCATCACTCGGTTTAAATACTCCCGACGTACTGTAGTCTTTCTGCATGTCGAACCAAATTAAGATATCGTGACGAAAAAAAAAAGACGGGGGAAAATTTTCCGCTCGGTTTTCCTTTAGATGATTTAATTCAACATGTTTGGCAGGAATAATAAACAAATGAAAAATTGTCAGCGAACGCTAGTTCAACAAACCATTTCTGCTTCTCTTCCGTTTAAACTTTCGATTTTTCTCCACTCTCTCTCTAAAAGGATTGATGGAGGGGGGGATTTGCTCTATGGAAACTACAAAAAAAAAGTATTAGAATCTGAAACTAGGATCGACGTCCATCGCCCACGAAAATTTCTCCAGAAGAGACTTGTTGAACATCTGCATCATATTAAACCATACATATATCATCATCAAGAAACAGTAAATAAAATAAAATAACGGGGCAACAAAAAAAAGGGCGTTTTTGTCACCTTCTCGATAGGAACTTCATGGCGTTTGCACCATGCAACGGTGATTCTAGGATCGAGGTAGTTGATCTTTGACGTGCCCAATGCCACTGTTTTCAAATCCTCTTTAGTTTCCTTGTCCCGTTCCATTTTCTCGATTTTTGCAGTGGTTTGAGCTATCTTTCTCTCTAAGCTGCACGCACAGCTTTTCACTATCAGCTGCATGATTATACATCATTACTCTGATAATCGTAACGTTAAGAAACGAGATATGCTTACGCTTCAGGGTTTATATTCCTCTTCGCCTTCCCATCAGCACCCGCAAGTAGGGGTTTCCCTTTTCTCGCCCTACCCAAATCTGTCTTCAGTTCTTCCAAAACACCCTAAAAGAAGCTCAAATAATTTTCAAGAAGTTTAAATACGAAGCACATATATATACACATACGTGTATGTGTGTGTGTGTGTGTGTGGCTTAAGAAGGCTGATATAGATAAAAGGATTACCTTTAGCTCGTCTATTTTTTCATCCAAACGTAGCATCTGGGCGCTGTGGGTTTTTGAGACAGTACGCTGATGATTACAAATGATTGCAACCTACGGAAGAAGTGGCAAATATATGAGAATGGAGACATTTGTTTTTTCATTCATAGGAAAAATGTGAAACGTCGTATATTTGAACAGCCTTTACCTCCTTGTTCGCATGATTATAAGTAACGACTTTCTCAGCAAGGTCTCCACCCTTTGTCTCCCTGCTCAACTGCCACATCAACCAACAACAATTGAGACATAGTAGCAAAGAAGTAAATGCTAATATAGATATTTGAGGGAAGAAATAAAATTAAATAAAAGATATTGGAAGCATAGTCACTGTCAGAGATTTCGTATATCTCGTTTCATATTTTCATTACCGTATTACCTACTCTCAGACATTGGAGTAAATTTGGTCATCTTACCTTGTCATCGAGAGTAATAGATGCATTGTATGTACGGAAGACTTTTGCAGTAAGACCAGGCATGAGTTCCTTTAGATGAGCATTAAGTTTACTAGTATCGAGCTTGTCGAAAAGATCGTCACCGCCCTTTTTCCCTGTAAATAACACAAATCAGTTTAAATGTTAAAAAATGCACCAATAATACACCGTAGTGGAATTGCAGACAAAATACGTTGCACCATTTTACTAACCACTTCGAAACTGTTGGATTGCCTTGAATACAGCGGTTTCAACTTCGACTTCGTTTTGATACCTTATAGAATCTTTACCGAGGAAATCAAACTGCAGATACAACAATAAAAGACGTTGGTTTTATCTTTTTTGAAAATATTGAAGGTATAACAGGACAGAGAAAATGGAATTACATCCACTTCAATACATATATGTGTGTGTGTATATATATATTGTAAAGTCACTGACCTTCAAGATATTAGGAGGCACTGGTTCCACATTTTCTACTTTTAATGTGCAGCAACCAACTGTATCAGCTTCATCGTCATCCTATAACACAGTGATAGAACATAACAAATTTAATACAACAGTAATGCACCTTGTTTGATAGGAATTAGAGTATCGAAAAAGGTTGGCTTTAAGAACTAACGCTTTCACTAAACAAAGATTTAACAGAATAATGACCATTGTGGCACGGTCAAAAAATTTAATAAGCAACGATGCATAATAAATAAAAATCCTCGTATATTATACCTTCTCGTTCCCTGCCCTAAGAGCTAGTTTGTCAATAAGATAGGTTGCGACCGCTATCTGCTTCTTCGCAGGATCTTTACTTACAAAGTCCCTGGTATAAGCCGTTCGGATACCTTGAATGTAGTCCTTCATTCAAAATGGCAAAAGATGTTAATAAATGGCACAAACTTCGATGCATATAAAAGGCAGATGAACTTATACTATTAATCAGTTACATCACAGTTACCTTTAAGAGCCTAGCTTTCTCATATTTCTCCTTGTCACTTTGTCCTTTCAGTGTACTGCTAGCAGCCAGGAATACATATTTGAACTCCTTACCATTAATCGGATCGCTCCAATATGCCAACCATGTAACTGTATTATCGTGCCTTATTTCCTTCCATCTGCCAAATATTAAATTCAGAAACCCAACTTTTAACAGCAGAAAACTGGCTACTCTTGAATGTTATCTAAGCGAAAAGGGATTTTTCCGGGTTTGGGAAAAATATAATAAAAACGGAGACCGAACCTTTCACCCTCTATAGGACATTCGGGAATTGGAGCATCCCTTCCAATATTTATAGTGATGTCACTTGGACGAATTCTTCTCTTCAGCTTCCCCATCTGTTGAGAATCAACAGTGTCAATCAGTACAAACCTAAAATTGCCACCATATTTCGAGATTGAACATGCATGAAGTTTTCGACTGCAATTAATTTACTATTGCTAGTTGAATATTATTATTGCACCTTTGGATGCTCGCCCCGGCCTCGGAACAATCCAGGAGGTTCAACTCTGAAGTTTCCAACCTACAATAAATGGCATCACAATTCAGTTTATGCAGAGAAAGATGAGTAAATAACAGAAGCTATAAGCTAAACCCCATCCCTAAAGCCTATACAATCCCATAAAAGAGGAAAGAATATGAAGAAGTTGCATTAGTTAATAACAAAGCCAACTTCAATTCTCTACAGATGGATGATCCATAAGATATACAATATTTCGGAATAATATTCAGAGACTACTGGCAAGATGTACATCTCATGAGGAACTCGAGATTTAAAAACCATCAACAAATTCTACAATAGAAGCATCGTTACTAGCTTTTGAGTGCCAACCGAAAAACATATAAATAGACGCATAAAAAAAATCATTCTTAAGACTACCATACCAAATAACTATTATTGGGACTACTTGTTACAGAGTAAAAAATTTCATATAGCCACGAACATTGCAACTTAAATATGCTGGTAATAGCATTTGAAAGTGGATGACAAAAATCATACCTTCTCTCGCACACCATCAAGAACGGCCCACATATACTTCTCTTCTAGCTTCAATTTCTCCTCTTTTAAAGCCTTCTTCTCCTGCCTCCCCCAAATGCCCAACAAAAGGAATAGAAGATACATTATGCGAGAACATAAATTTTCCGATTTGATTTGCGTTGCTCACATGAAGTTCTTATGCAAGAAATCTAACCATAAACATTATTTTTCTTCCAAAACATAGTGTTATTCTTCGACATTAAACAGTCCATCAAATGCAAAGAAGCAAAAGTTTATCTGCTTTAATGACCAACATTCACTATTAAAGCTTTGATAAAAAATGAACACACGAGTAAAAATGCACTTAAGAAAATCAATAACGGGCTCTTTCTTCGCATGTGTAGAGCAATTACCTTCTCTAGCAGACAATCAAGAAAAGAACAAATTCTCTTAAAAAGTTAGCAGGAGAAAAGAGTTTCAATCATATAATTTTCTCATCGTGGTTATCTAATTCAATTAACCTAGGGAACCCATTCTAGTGAAAGAAGTAATACTCTGCACGGATATGACTAAGACCACATGTTCCAAGATTACACATCAAGTCATAAGCACTATCCCAAGGGGCCAAGTATCAAGGTAAAGCGTTGCTTCATCCAAAGGTTTATAACACAACCCAACCCCCATGCACCCCTAAAATGCTCACGTCTAAGATATGGGAGAAAAACAGATAGAAGTCTCAGCATCATGCTTAAATCATTTTTCTGATTTTTTTCCTCAAATGATTATTCAGTTAAAAGTGCATCAACCCCTAACTAATGGTTTTATAATCCACGTGAAGTTTTTTAACTTGGTGTCTAAAAGATTCAGATAGAGCAATACCATTGACGACTAAAACATTCTTTTGTTCAGAGCAGAAAAATTATTCATAAAATATCCTGGCAACAAATCTTCAATAAAAATGAACATAAACTTCGAACATCAAACATAAAATTTGGATTTATGAAACAGAGTTTAGCAGCAAACATAATTCTTATCAAATATGAAAGCAATACATAGGTGAATCAGATCAATGTTCAGTAAACGGAGATTATACTGCCAACTTACATCAGTACTCATCTGTTTCTTTTTCTCCTTCTCTCTCTGATGCCACTCGTATATTGGAGTGAAATCACAGTGTTCCAAGCTCTGGATAACATGATTCTTTCCCAGTATCTTCTTCCAGTCAGTCATGAAGTTTTCTTTGAACTGAGGCTTCTTCAAGTAATCAGTCTCTAACATCACCGCGTACATTGTCGCAACCTGCCAAACGGAGGGAAGATAGAAAGTAAGAATCCTAACTAAATAACAAACGAACTTACATGTAAAAGTGCAAGTGAAACTGAATACATGTAAGCAAGTATATGAAATATAGAGAAGATTGGGTATGAGAGGTACCTCTTCTTGTTCTGGGGTTAAGTTGACGGGCTTACCCTTGTAGAGCATCTTAACCCCATGCGGCTTGTATGGAGGCGGAAAAATCACACCATTGTGAACTAAAGTAGTCCACTTTTGCCCGTCACCAGAGCTCGGAGGAAGCTTCGATGACTTGGAATAATTATTGTCTTTCGAGACCTGTTTTGATTTCTTATTCGTCTTACTGTTTGTCTTACTATTTGTCTTATTATTTGTCTTCTTCGATATTGAAGCCGTAGACTTAGTCACTTTTAAAGCAGGCGACGGTTTCTTTTCTGGGGTAGTTGATTTCTTGGTTCTTTGTGATAAGGGAACAAGATCCTCATCATCCTCTGCCTTCACTTCAGGTTTGACAGATGCTTTCTTATCTTTACTAGCTAAAGAATCTGAAAGCTTCGGCTTTTTCAAATTAGATTGACCTGCAGATGCTACACCATCTGCAGGTCTCTTCTGCAAAACAGTCGAAGGTTTCCTTTCTGTTGAGGCCGAACCATTTTTATCAGGTTTTCTGGCAACTAAAGGTTTCTTTTCTTCAGAATGAGACGACCTGCTGGTCGACGCTCCAGCATTAGACTTACCTTGAAACTTAGCTGACAAGGGAATTTCATCATCCGAATCTTCAGGTTTGGGAACATTGGATTTTTTACCGAGATTTGGAGCATTCGGTTTGTTAGTCTGGTTAGGATTGTTCTTTGACGAGCCAGCTACTTGCCTAGCACTAAGTGGTTTATCATCTTCAGAATCCTCCGAGTTCTCCTCTTTAATCGTTGACTTAACAGATTTTGACTCACCTACTACTGAAGTAGAAGGCTTCGAATTCACATCAGGCGACTTAATTGGAGATGCCTTGACGGAGGAATTAGACGATTTCGGACTAACCAGAGAAGGTCTAACAGGCGGTTTCATGGAAGAAGAAGAAGTGACCGATTTACCCTTTTGAGCATTGGCGTTTGTACCATTCTGCGGCCGTACATCAGATGATTGCCTCCCCACCTGTGCATTATGCTTCTGAGATGACAACTTATTTTCTGGCTCTGATTGTTTTGGCTTCGAGGAAGAGCCACTTCTTTTAAAAACTAAAGGGGCATCATCATCGTCGTCCATATCTTCCATCATATTTTTATCTTCACGAGCCTCAACAGTCATTTGTCGGGTTTAGCTGCATTACCATATAACAATTTTAGCAACCACTGATAATGATTGTCCATTTAAATATCGATTTCGATACGAACTTGTAACTTTCTAAGTAAGATCACTAATAAAAAAAAAGCAAAAAATGAACTCGATTGGTTGGGCATCCACAAAATCACACAATACCATAGCTCTCGTAAACAACTTTTTTTGTTCAGTAGTAAACAGTTGAAGATGTTCCAAAATCCAGACTTCATAAACAAATCTGATTAAAAATAAGTCGAAAACCTAAACACTAACATGTTTCAATACACAGAAACGAGCGAAAATCGAAACGAAATCTGGGTCCAGGTTGAAGATTCGTACACAATTTTTTTGCACAAAAAATCAACCCCCCCGCCACAATAACAAACTACCACACGAGAAAATACACGTGTTGTTTCGGATTTCTACACAAATAATTACATAAACTTTTACAGAACCAAAAAAAAAAAATTAGTAAGCTAGACAATTACAAGCCACCACATACATGGGTTCGCGAACAGTGTATTTACCCAAATTAAAAACCTAAAAGAAAAAATCAATTCTTTACTACTCCAACACATCAATTCGATGCACAAGCAAATGCGAGAACGAACAAACGCGATTGGGGAGGGGAAAAAAATTCCAAGTACCTCGATGCTTGTAAGAAAAGAAATTGAAGATGGATTGGGGAGAATCTTCTGTGCCTCCAAAACCCTAATTTTATCTATGCCCCCCTCTTCAATCTCCACCACGTCACGCGAAGCATCAAAACAAACAATCGAATTCTAACCTCAGTAAATGAAATTCTTTCTTACACACAATCTGTAGTTTTATATCAGCTATTTCTGAGTCTTGGACTTCTGGGGAAAAAAAAATAAAGATAGTATTTAAAATTATTTTTTTTTATTTTTATTTTGAACGAAGGCTCGTAGCTCCATGTTGTAAACTAATTTTAGGTAACTTGAAGGGTAAAATGGTCAAATGGGACCAATTGCCCTGGATAAAGATGTCGAACTCTTATGATTTACGATTCGATTTATTCATTCACTTTGAATTTAATGATTTTTGATATAAATATTTGTGGAAATTTAATTTGATGCAACTCTATTGAATTTTTAAGATCTAATACGATTCTCTTTTTAATGATTTTTACGATTCGGTTGATTTTTCGCAATCCAAAAATTTAGCACTTCAAATCGATCAACTTAATCAATAGAGATACATGAATCAAAAAATAAATTGACAAAAAAGATTAAGGCCGTGAGGGTATGTATGCGCTTAAAGTGCACTGGATAAACCCACCATCGTAGAATAAAAGAGATACATGTATGAACTTCGTATTTGTTGTTTGTTGTATTGGACACTTTTTTTCTTCATGTATTGTTATATGAGCAATTTGCAAATCACTGTTCACAACTAATATCATTTCAAATCAGGACGGTTGTATTTTGTCAATTTGTTTAAAGTCTTCTATCATTTACCTGTTTCCTTCTCCCGCGGCTCGTCCACTCATCTTTAGATTCAACAATATCTTTGATACACCACTATCGTCTTCCCCATCATGCAACCGCCGTCTTCACCCGCCACTGATGCATCCCTCTGTTGTCAGCGTCATAGAATAAAAAACGACTATGACACCCACACACATGCACGGGCACAAACTCATACAAAATAGTCTTTGGAAAAACATATATGTGTTTGTAAGTGCACCATTGGAGCATATCAATCGTAGTTGCTGGTTCACTTTGATTAGCTACACGATTTGAGGGAGAGGTGATTGTGAATAGGTAAATATCCCATGGAGGAAGACCACTAAACATAATTAAGTTCCGTGACTAAGCTCTCCTTATCTGTGCACTATATATTTTTCATGTGCGTATAGTTCTATGTCTAAGCTCCGTAGTTAAGCTATCCTTGTTGTATCCACTGTACATTTTTCATGTATATATATTTTTCTATGGATTACATCTATTATCTATCATTTACTAATAATATTTCTTCTAAGCTCTTTAAGTAAGTTTTTCAGGATCGCCCTAAACTCTCTAAGTAAGTTCTATATGCTATTGAGTGTGTGTATTCGCGCATTTTTAAGTTCTAAACTTCCATATTTTTTTGTTGGTCAAGCTACATTGTCAAAAAAGTACACGAATGGTGAACTTGTTTGTTCAGCACCCATATATCTCAATTAAAGGGGTTGGTAGACTTTAACTAACACTAAAATTCAATTAGAAAATTTTCAGCAAATGAGAAATATTTTCTGTTTTTTAAGCGGTGTCAAATATTTACGAGGGACCTTAAGCTAATAATCCCATTATTATATGCATCACAATTAGCAAATATTCGATAAAGCACCCAAAATTACAAAGATTTGCTCATATTTTCAAGAAACAAATAGTTCTACTTGGGCCTAAAGCCCGTATGGCCAGTTTATTTGAGTATACTCGGGCCTACACAAAGGGCCTTTGTGAAAATAACTAAATTTGATCCTAATTGAGATCCATCACAAGTAAAAATTTGATTTTTTTAATTATTATACTATATACTATACTACATGCAATTTAGACTTATTTATTATTTTACCTGAATTATTTACCGTCTTCCTGCATTAATAGTTAGGTGCAGCACAATTATATTAGGGTTTTTTTCTTGAAATTCGTACATACATTGACCCGATATTTCCATTTGACTTAAATCACTTGCTCGAGCGCATGCCAATCCCACTTTAGATCGGTACACCATTTCCAGAAATCGACTAATCCAAGTCGGCTAATATAAAGTAGAAATTTTCAGAAACTAATAATTTTGATCTGATACATCCGATTTTCACCTAATAGTAGCTCAAATTTTTATATCAGAGTAATATATAATAGTAATACCATTGAACATTTGAACTCATATAAATGCAAGTCTTCTATTCATGTATGCATAATATATATATATACATACACATATATTGCTTTGACCCTAGGGCCTACGTCACACAACTTGATTTTTTTTTTTTCAATTGTTGAATTAATCGGTTTGTTGTTATCTAAGTCCCCTAGTGACTAGCATCACATGTAGTTTAATTTATGCATTTCATTTATTGGAATATAATACAAAGACTATTATTTATTAAAAATAATATAATATTAATTTGCTGATTAATTATTTATTAAGAATTAGCTACTAGTATTATTTTAGGAGAAAAATAATATATCAATTTGCTGATTAATTATTTGTATTTGAAAAATACTACTCTTTGTTCCTTTTTCAACCACCAAACAAAAATAAAATAATATGTCCAATTAATGTCAAAGACCAATTGACATTGGCAAAAGGCCATGCATTATGAATTTTTAGATATGGATGTTTGGCTAAGATTATAAGTTGTTGAAAAATAGCTTATAAGTTGTTTAAGAATTTATAAGTTCTTCCGGAGTGTATAGTAAAAAATTTAATGATTTTAAAAATTCCAAAAAAAAAAAAAATTGTTTTTTTGAACTTCACATTTTTTATTTAAGATCTTATAATGAGTAAAATGAACTTATAAATTTATAATTCAAACAATTTAAGAATTAGTTTTAAAAATAAGAAGGAACAACTCATTAACTTTTAAAACAACTTAACAGAAGTAGGAATTTATCAGATGTTTAAGATAAGCTTATTCGTCGAATGAGCTCTTAATCGGGTCAACACTGGACACTTAATAATTAGGTTATTAAAAAAAGAATATATATAGAATAAAAAAAACCTTGAATATATAATAAAGCTTTGGACTTATTTGTCTTTCTCTATAGGTTGATCTAACTACCAATTAAATCTTCAACACATGTTTCCTAAAACAATTATAAATTATAAATATGCTTGCTTAGAGTATTCGGCAGGCCGACGTGTTTAATTAGTGTCCCTAATTACTATAATTAGTGGTTGTAACTTATTTTATTTTATTTTTTCTAAGGACCAAATTGGCTAATTAGATCATCGGCATGCATGCCTCTTAAATTTATTCGTTTAGTTTATAATAAAAGAGAATTATGGTCATATGTTATAATTTATTTCAATGTATTAATTTGGATTTGGAATATTATGTCATATGTTATGGTCATAATTAATATCCATATTAACTATACGAAAATCCTTAATTACTATATAATATACTAAACAGCACCGATCGAAAATAACTTGTCGGAGATACATCTATATTAATGAATAGAAAACCGAAAAAAGTAACATAAGAAATACGTTATTATTATAAAAAAAAAAAAATTATCTTATAAATTATTGATTTAAATTAAACTAATTACCAAGTCTTGTAAATAGTAATTATTGGTATTGGGGTAAATTACAACCACCGCTGAGGTATGGTCAAATTACGGAAAATTCCCTCCTGTTTGGGTAATTACAAACATTCCATCAAATATAAATTTTCTTACACGTCCACCCTTGCGGTTTCAAATTTAATAGAATCTGCTAGATTATATGAAATATTCTCAATTTTGTACTTGTTTTATTCCATTCGAGCTCCACATTTTGAAGCAAGATGATCATAAGATGTGTTTTTTAACTTGTATATATCAGATTGTTGTGCATCATAAACTGTATTTTTGTACAAAACGAGTACAAACTAGAGAACATTCCATAAAATCTAGATGAATATGTTGAATTTGACACCATAAGAATAGAAATATAAGAAGATTCATAGTTGACGGGTAGATATAATTATCCAAATATGAGGGTTTTTTCGTAACTTGACCATATCTCAAGAGTGGTTGTAATTTACCCTTGGTATAAATTAATTATACACGAATCATATATGTATTACGATACTAACTTATATATTAGAAATAATTGATTTAAATTAAAACTCAAAAAAAGAAAAAAACAAGTCAATGTCAGTCCCAATCTCATAAAAGACTTAGCAACAACCACAATAGTAATTAGTTAATTAGTAATTAATACTAATCCATAAATTACTTAACATCGGTGCAATTTTTTTTTTTTTTTTTTTTTTTTTTTTTTAAAAGGGAGAAAAAGAATAATTATTTAACAAATATAGTATGTGGGGCTACTAATTCCATTGTCATTTAGAGTTGACCCAACTTTTAGGTTACCATCACGTTCATTGTACTATTGTTTATTTGTTCATGGATTGAAAGGTAAAAGATATTCGGTTGGTAAAATTCGAATTACTCGAGGCTCGCAGTAAAAAAGGGAATTCGGTAATAAAATGCATATATCCAATAAAATAAGTAGTGAAGTCGAACACGAACCCGCAAGGGTGGCCTAGCGGTTGGAAGCAAGGGAGCTTGGGTCAATTGACCCAAGTTCGAATCCCCTTGCCAACGGTCGCTAGGTCGAGCTTGTCACACATGGTTAGCCTAGTGTGGTTTAAATCTCTCGTATGGTTTGCAAGCTATTATACGAGAGTGTAGGTTTACCCAGTGCACCTATATGGTTGGCTGCGGGTTCCTGCATTATCAAAAAAAAAAAAAAAAAAAAAAAAGAAGTCGAACACGAGACGATTAAGTTTGTAAGTAGTTATTGAAAATGAGAATTACAATTTGATTTATCTCTAAATTAAGAATGTACCTTTTTTTTTATTATTAATTTCAATAACTTCGTCGTGTTTTTCAGTAATTATAGAATCGAACGTAACCTCAATTCGGTGGCATCATAATTTTTTCATAAGTGTTAAATACTGCGTCAGTTTGTGAAAGATTTTATTAAAGTGAACGCACCTAGACATAGATACCTCAGTTAAATACCACAATGTAAATCGCCGTTCACCTCGCACATATATATATATATATATATATATATATATATATATATATATATATATATATATATATATATATATATATATATATATATATATATATATATATATTATGTTTTAAAATATTAAATAAGACTAAAATATAGTTTCATTCGACTACCTATATAGGATTACACTGTTTAGTACTTCGGTTGATAATAAATTTATTAAATTTTGGTATTATATCTAATTGTCTATAAAATTTGTTACGTACCTAACAAAATTAAAATATTATTTTAATGATAAAATTACATTTTCATTTACTACGAAATTAGTCACGAATCACGAGGGAGGCCGGCGGCGCTAATTATTTAAATGAAATAATATCATTATTTAAATTTATTACTCTATGAAATAAGTTTTTCTATTTTTTTTAATAATTATTTTTGAGAAATTAGTAAAAAGTACTAATCCATCGTAAAGTAAATAAACTGGTAGGGCAGAATGGAAATTAAAGAGCGAGGGGTGACAGTATTTTAACTCTCTTAGCTGGATCTAAGCTGTATTTCTTTTTTTTATTTTTGTAAAAAAATTAAACAAAATAGTAATAATTTTTATTTATTTATATATTTTGTCCGAATATAATACAATATGCCTCGTAAAACCAATTTGTCTGAGGTGTCAATATCAAATAATCCAACTTGTATAAAAGTTAAATTCAGCAAACACAAAAGCACGACTTTCTCCACAACGGAATAATTTCAGTGGATTAAGTAATAGTAACAGCCTGTTGAACCATAGTCGCGTTTTCGGTTTTATCGTGTTTTTTTTTTAGGGAAAATTGCACATCACCTCCTAACAATTTATACTTTTTCACTTTACCCCCTAATGTTTTTAAAAAGCGAATGCCCTCTTCGAAAATGTTATTCTTGTTGCGCATTGCTCCCATATCAAAATTTCGATGGATTATTCATCGTAATTGAGCATTTTTGTTGCACGTAGCTCCTTTAAATGCTATTTTTGTTGAGAACTACCCCTTAAAAACATTATTTTATGCAAATTGTTATTTAAAATGTTATTTTTGCTGCACAATACACACGAAAAAATGGTTAATGAGGCAAAGTGTAACCAAAATAATATTTTGAAGTGGGGTTATTCAATTTTCGAATTTTTAGGGAGAAAAATACGAAAATGAGAAATTTGTAGGAAATTAAGTGCATTTTGTCCTTTATTTTATTTTTTAATTTTTAATTTATCTCACTTCTAAAAGTAGAAATTGAAAATTAAATCAGTCAAAACTGCCAAATCAATCTTTACTCTCCACACCAAATTATTGAAGCACCCGTCGCTATTAGAATCTGCAGTACTTGTCTCTTGATATTTTGGGGTTGTTTTATTTATTTTTAAATTAAAATAAATAAAATAATTGTTTCGTAGTTATTTTCTTTAGAAATTTTCATATTGAATTTACTAATTATATATTCATTCGAAAAATTGATAAATATTATATATATATATATATATATATATATATATATATATATATATATATATATATATATATATATATATATATATATATATATATATATATATATATATATATATATATATATATATATATATATATATATATATATATATATATATATATATATATATATATATATATATATATATATATATATATATATATATATATATATATAAATATATATATTAATATATATAGTACACATATATAGCTCTACATGTAAAAACATATATACGGCATTATAAA